CAGAAACCTCAAGGTTTGGGGTCATTTCCCCGTGGGAATTCCCGTTGCTGCGGGAGGCGTTTGCTCCGGGGCAGAGGCGTCCTTGGCTGGGTGTCCCGGCCGGTTCCTTCCTGGTGAGGTTGTGTGCAGGGACGTGGTGTAGTGAGCAGCTGTGCAGGCCGTTCTCCTCAGCAAAGGAGGTCAGTGCAGAGCTCTGTGTTACAGAAATCCTCCAGAGCTGGATGGGTCCCTGCAGACTCCGACGTCCCCTGGGGTGCACGGCCCGGCTGGGACATGGGGGTCGGGTGCTGCGCGGGGGTCTCGGGTGCTGCAGGAGCCCCTGTGCCGCTCCCCAGAGATTGATTTTCTCCCCGCTCCTACGCAGCCGGGATCAAAGCACGGAGCTGTCACTCCCAGTGGCTGCAGGAGGCAGAGCTGGGCTCTCCCCCCTCCTCCTCCTCCTCCTCCTCGGCCCCCTCTTAATGAGACAGACGAACTGGGAGCGGGCTGCAAGTTTTAATGAGAAGCTTCCAGCCCCTGAGATGTGAAAGGCGAGAGCGGCCGCTGCCAGGCAGGGAAGTGGGGCAGGAGGAGGCGGTGACCCCAGTCCCCGTGGGACAGCAGCACACCCGGAGCCGTGTCCCCGTTCCTGCCACGCTCGGTCACATCTAAAGGGGGCCACAAGGAGCTGGTGCAGGCAGCCAGATGTGCCCATGCCCAGATGTGCCCTGGGAGGGCAGGAAGGGGGCTGAGCAGAGGGGAACAGAACAGAAACGCTGTCCCTGTCTCTAAGCAAAGCAGCAGGAGCCAGGGGGGCAGCCTCCACCACCCCTCAGCTGTGCCCTGGGTCACTGCGGGAGCACCCGGAGCCCCAGGGGAGGTGGAGGTGACACAGGCAGAGCTGGGGGCTCAGCCCCAGCGGGGGCACAGACTGGAGCTGCCCACCCTCACTGCCTGCCCTGAGCGCTCTGCCCTCCTCATCCATCCAAGGGTGGTGATAACCTTGGCTCTTCCCTTTCCTCTTCTTTTCCTTCTTGTAAGGGTTTCCAGTAGGAGCCCACATTGCTGCTGCATTGCATTTTCCAAGCTCAAGTCGTTCACCTTTTCCAATTCAAGCAGTGAATAAATGAAATGTTTAATTGATCATTTGGTGTCGTTTCACCTTAATTTACCGGAGGGGTTTAATTCAGCCCACCCCAGGGCCCCTCACTCTGTCGCGACAGCCCCGCCGCCCCAGCCCAGCTCCCTGCGCGAGGGGGAGGCGAGAAGAAACAGGCGCATGCCTCCCCGCGCCCCTCTGCTTTAAAACACAAGGATTTATTAAAAGCGCGTGTTATTTCTTAGCATCACCCATCTGTTAGCACTCGACATCCCGGCGCGGAGTAGAGAGGGGCTGAGAGGGAACAGCAATAAACCATCTGCTGCAAAAATACACGGGGCTGCGCCGGTGGGGGGGTAACAAACAACGAGGGGGACGTCAGGGGGAGAAGAAGGGCTGGAAGGGAGCGTTGTGGGGCTGCAGGAAGGAGGGGAAGGGGCTCTCAAAACAAGGGAGAACTTTGGCATCTGGGTTGGGACACGGGGAGGGAGTGGAGCCATCAGCACAAGAGCTTCTTGGGCTGGGGAGTGGGAGCAGGGCGGACATGGCGGGGGGCTGTGAGCTTTTTGGTGGTCCTCTTGCTGCCTTTGCAGGTGAGAGCGCCCAGAGGATGTTCTGAGGATGGAGAGAGGAGAAAAGGGGATGAGGCAGCTCCTGGGTAAAGCAGCAAACCCAGGTCCCATCCTGACAGACTGAGATGCTGCCAGCTCCCACCTTTCTACCCCTCTTCCCCGAGGCTGGGGCTGTAGCAAACCCCAAACAGCACCTTCCACCAGCACCCAACATCGCAATCTCAGGTATTTTCCCGTCCTGAACAGGGATGGGGCTGGCACAGGGACCATTCCCACAGCCCATGGCACTGCACGGAGCCCGGGGACACGGAGGGGCACGGGGCTCACCTGGGATGCGGGAGGGCTGCGCTGGTCCCTGGTGGCTGCTCGAGATTTGGGCGCTGTGGCTCTGGAGCCTGCACAGCGAGGCAGGAGCAGCGCTACAAAAGAGAAAGGGGCCGTTTGAAACCCCCGAGGCTCAGGGCTGAGGTCCCTCATGGTCCCCAATGTCACGGGGAGGTGGAGCCGACGCAGGCAGGGCTGGGGGCTCAGCCCCAGCGGGGAGCACAGGCAGGAGCTGACCCCCCGAGGGCTCTGGGGCACAGGCTGCAGGTGGCTGCCTCACCTCTCTATTCGTCTCCGCTTCTGTGCGGGCCCTTTGGAGATCAAGCAGGGCTTGGGGATGGAGGAAGGCTTCACGGCAGACACCGGGACACAGACGCTGCGGCCAAGGAGAAAAGCGTTAGTGCCAGGGATGCACCCTGAGCGCTCTCATGAGGCTGGAAGGGAACCGGCCCAACAACATCCACCTCAAGGAGCAGAAATCACAAGAAACCTGTCTGGTTTTGTGGAGTAAAATGATGCAAACAGGGACAGATCCTCAGGAGATCCACGCAGGAGGCATCAGTCATGGCTGGGACATTCCCCCACACCTCAGTTTCCCCAGTTACCCTGTGTAGGAACCATTTCCTAGAGCTATAGGGAGACCTAAGGGTGCGCTGTGCTACCAAGTGCACGCCAGCCTCTGCTGTCAGATGGCTCCTCATGCAGCTCTGGAAAAGACAGAGCCTGTTTGAAGCATCAGCATCAAAAAGAAAACCTCAAAATTAGGTATTAGGAAACATCTCTTCCCCAAAGGGTGATCAGGGCCTGGCAGGGGCTGCCCAGGGCAGTGGTGGAGTCCCCATCCCTGGAGGGGATCAAAAGCCAGGAGATGAGGGGCTGAGGGACGTGGGTCAGTGGTGGCCAGGGCATGGTTGGACTCGATGATCTTACAGGGCTTTTCCAACCCAATGGCTCTGTGGCTATGAAAAAACCACCAACACCCCCCCACGTGCAGTCCCCACCCTTGCTCTGACCTAGCTGGGGCATCGCCTCTCCTCCCAGAGCTTTGCCACACAGCACTTGGGGCTCCAGAAGCCATCTGAAGGATGCTCCTCCATGTCCAAAGGGAAAAGGAGAAGGAAAAATAGATTTTCTTGGAGTGCTTTTTATATCTTCATAAGCCATTCACATACGAGCTGCAGTGATCCACAAAGGATCCACCCAGGCAGCAAGATGGTACAGGGGGGGATCTCCAAAAACAGGGGTAACCCATCCAGGGCAGCACTTACTTGGGCACGAAGGGGCTGTCCTGCTTGTTCAGGAGGTTCTGGACGTTCTCCCAGACGGAGAATTCAGATACGTTGAGGGCGACCGGGTTGGCTGCGCCGGGGGAACCACAGTCCCCACAGACCTCAAAAGTCATGTTCAGGTTGTGGACGGGCATGGCGTGCAGGGTGCAGCCGTTTTGGGCAGCTGATGTTGCCAGGGGCACACGGCTCTTGATGACCGTCAGCGGGCAGATTGTGGAGCTGCAGGACGACGGCACCGGGGAGACAGGGGGTGCCTGGGTTGCTGCTTTGAGACAGGGGCTGCCTGGGTCCTGTGTCACCTTGGGAGTCTCTGCTTCTCTCCGGGCGCTGTGCTGGCGTTTCACCCGTGCTCTGAGGCTGCGGGGAGTTCCCACTTGGGAAGTGCTGCTCATCTCAGACCTTTCCCTCTTCTTAACCAGGCTGGGAGCCGTCGGTGTGGGACTGGAAAGGGGAGTGAGCTGCTGCAAGCACTGCAGGGCAGCACTCGTCATGGGGACAGCGGCCATGGCGATAGACACCTCGCCTAAAAGAGCAGAGAAGAAACAGAGTCACCTCCCTGCCTGCAGTTCCCAGGCACCCCCAAACCCCCGGGCATCCCCCTCTGCCCCCCATCACAGCTCAGCAGAGATCTGCCCAGAAGCTGTTTCCCAGCGGGTGTTTCCATCAAACTGCGTTAAACCCAGAGGAAAAGAGCCAGCGTGAATAATCCTGTGCCTTGCCACCCTAAAGGCACCGGACTGGTCCCAAAGCGAGTGACCCGTGGCAATGCCCAGGTCTGTCCCCAGAAAACGAGGTCTGCAGAGCCCACAGCTTGGCGTGCTGGCACTGAGGATGAGGAGGAAGAGCTCAGCGCCGGTCAGACACAGGCTGCCAGCGGGGAGCCTGCATCTGAGCTGACTTGGGGAAATGTAGCATGGAGAAGTAAACAAGACAAAGAAAAAAACATTAGGATCAGAACTGCTGCTTTCATCTCCCGGAGCAGAAATATCACTCGTGTTTAAGCTGAGTTGCACACACGTGCTGAGCTGCTTGGAGACAAGGGCTGCTCCTGGCTCCCGCCGTGCCCCAGGCTGCCAGAGACGCTGGCTGGCCTGGATGGCTTCACAAAGCCAGGCTGGAGCTGCTCTCAGCACATCCCCTGGCCACTGCATCCACAGAAACTCATCCCTCTGCCTTGTGCCCACGGCTGGGAGCTGCACCCCACACCCCCCTGGCTCCTCCAGCACACACCAAGATCCACGGCCCAAATCCCCGTCCCAATCCTCACCGTCACAGTCCTGCTGCATGCTCTGGGCCGGGGCAGCCCTGCTGACCTCTGTGGGTCCGTTCGGAGCCATGGCTTGCTCCAGGCTTACGCCAGCCTCCTGACGGACCAGGCGCTCCAGTTCCTCAAATTCAGAGACCATGTCAGGAGTGAGGAGGTTGGAAGCCTTCAGGAGGGAGTACTGCTTTTGGACAACGCTCAGGATGGTGGGCAGGAACCTGGGACAAAGAGACGGACCCAAGAACCAGTTAGCAGGTGAGCTTGGACCAGTGTCACCAGTACCAGAGGCTCAGCACCACCAGCATCACCTCTGAGACATCTCCTTGTGTGGGGCAGACCCTGTTAGCAGAGTTCTGGGGGAAGAGAGGCAAACGTTGAAGCTATGAGATACCCAAGCTGTAAGTCTGGAGAACCCAAGCTGTGAGTTGTGTTGGTTACAAGGGACCAAACGGCATCCACAGACTTTTTGCCAGGCTCCAGACACTCGTTAGCTCGGCTGGAGGCAGACAGAGATCCAGGCACACGTCAAGGCCAGCCTCCCTCAGGAGACCCTTCTGAAGAGGTTCCTTCTGCCAAAATGCTGGGGGCTGAAACATCAGCAGATGGTGCCATGGGAGCCCTGCCAGGGCAGGACCTGGGGGAGCCAAGGCGGGAGGAAAGATTTCGTGTGGGTAATTTCAGGACTAAAGATGCTCACTTAAGGCTCGCACAGTTGCTGTGCCTGGAAACTTTCATTGCTGACATTTCCAGGAGAGATTATCCCATGGGATTAGATCCCACAGTCCAGATGATGGTGCTCACCAGGAGAAACTCATCTGTTGATGGACACCGGGGCTCTCATCAGCAATAAAACCCTGTAGGCTCCTTGACATGGGAGGTGACACCAAGCCCTGTCCCTCCTCCCCCCCAGGCTCACCTGAGCAGCCCCACTGCATTCGAGGTGAGGGAAGACTGCGGTGCCAGCGCCTGGTTTTCTGACTCTCGGGCAGCGTCCTCATAGGCTTGGAGCTTCGCCCGCAGATCTGCCACCTGTGAGGAAGGACCATGCGTTGCTCAGGTGGTTTCACAACCTCAGGAGCTCAGGGGTCTGTGTACCAAGCAAACCAGAGCTAAAGGCAGAGCCCTGCCCTTCCCACCGGCATCTCACCTCCGCTTTCAGCTGCTCGCAGATCACGGGGTATTTACTAATGTGGCAGTCAAAGCTGAGCACGTTGCTCTTCAGCTGCAGAGACAGGGATGAGGCAGAGGTTAAAGAAGCACTGGGCAGTGTGTACCCCTCTCCCAGTGCTGCAGCAGCACAGCCATTTGGGCTCCTCCAGGCCCCAGGGTCCCCAGGGAGCCCCGAGGTGGCTGTGGCAGACATGATCTGTGCTCAGGGACCTGCTGTCCCAGTCACAAGCCTTTCTGGGCTGAGGGGTTTTAGCAGAAGACCATGCACACAGGGTCTACAGCTTCATCAGCTGCTTTCTGCCCAGAGCAGCACCCCCAGAGCTGGAAAACTCAAGTAGGAGAAGGGAGGCACCCCGTGACGCACCACGCTCCTTCCAGTCCATCCCCAGCCCTCCCAGACACGCAGCAGATCGCCGCCACAACGCGAGGTCCTCACCGACAGCTTGATCTCCTTGGCACGGTTGGCGTACTTGAGCGTGTTGTAGGTGTCCTCATAGGCCAGCACGGAGGGACTCACAGCCGCGATCATGATGGTGCGGCAGTTGCCACCAATGGAGTCCTTCAGCAAGCGCGTGAGCTTGCTGTCCCGGTACGGGATGTGGGCTTTCTTGCTCTGCACCAAGAGATCAAGGGTCTGCTTGGCTTTTGGCCCTCGGGTGCTCATCCCCGAATCCTGTGTTGCAAGGGGACGGCCACGCTCAACCCACAGCACCTCTCTGAGTCCAGCCCAGGCTACCATCCTCACCGCACTGGTGAGACCATCATTTGAGGACACCCCTCACTGTCACCCATCCTGGGGAGCCAAAGCCCAGCAAGGAACAGCGTTACCTTTGCATCAGCCAACGCATTGATAACGTTGATGAGGGCCAGCAGCGAGCGGTTGATGTTGGCCCCCTCCCGAAGCCGCTCTCCCCTGGCGTTGGTGGCTGAAGCTCGCTCCGAGCCTGCCAGGTCGATCAAACTCATCTTGGCCACTTGCAGATCCTGACTGAGTCCACAGACACGGTCCTGCTGCTTCACGTAGATCTGTGAGCACAGAGATCAGTGAGGCTGCAGCTCAACAAGGCACACGGGGGTGCTGGTTGGAGCCAGCATTACCAGTGTCAATGTCTATACAAGGATGGCAGAGAGGATCTCACAGGCCGTGAGATAGAGCAAGGAGAAAAAGAGGAGCCCAGCACACTGACAGGCCAAGCCAAAAACCCAGAAATGGCACAAGTAGGAAAGCCGTGGAAGGGATCCTGCAGGAAGTGACAGAGCTACAGAAAATCATCAGTGCTTGGTGAGTGAGCGAGGTACAGCTGGCCAGGTCCCTGAAGGGCAACACGTCAACCCACAGCTCCAGCACGACTCAGGAAGTGCTCACATATGGTGGCAACTCCAGCCTCAACTCTGACAGGGGCTACAAGTGCCCAGACACAGCCTCACAGTGCCCCGGGGCAGGATCCAGCCAAGGCTTTTAGCACCGAGCCCAGTCCCTGGCTGATGCAGGCAAGGAGGGACAAAGCCACCGAGACTCACTCAACAGCATCACTCTGCAACTTCCCCTTCTGCATCCCTAAAGATCTCCCAGGAGAAGCGAACACCTCCCCGAGTGCCCTGTAACAGCCTCAGCTCCCCAGGAGCTCCCCTGCACGGTCTGGAGGTGCCGTGCAGATGCTGGAGGCTGGTAACTGGTCCTGTGTCCTCACCAGACTGTGGTTCGCCGGCCGGGAGGCAGAGCCGGCAGCGGGAAGGGCAGATTTCCAGTACAGCTAATGGATTCACGGCAGGCAGGAATCCAGCACCCACCAACAAGCCCAGCTGGGAAGCTGGCTGGGAAAGCATCCAGACACCTGGACTTCCCTCCTGCAAGCAGCAACGGGCAAGGCACCAGGTTCAAGCTGAAATTACAGTCAGAGCCCTCTGTCTCCCCACGCAGCCGTGACGGCCCTGCTAATTCGGGGAAGGGCCTGGCTGGAATTGAAATCAACTGGCAGGTTTGTGTAGGAGAGCACTGAGAAAACAGGGAGCAAATTTAGAGCCCTGGCATAGGGGAATTCGTGGCTCAGTGCCGAGGGGGACACGACAGAGGAGACGGCCTGCCCATGGCTCCTGTGGGAGGCACAAGCAGGAGCCAGCAACAGCTCCCACGTGCCGAGTCCACAGGAGTCAAAAGCACAAAGGGAAATCTCAGCTCTCGTGAGGGGTAACACCAAGCTGGGAGTACAGGGCTGTCCAGGAGACACAGCCACCAGCATGACCAGTATGTGCTGCCCTGCTGCACTACAGGCTAGTGGCCTGCACAGCCCCGTAACTCTTCTTTTCAGAGCCATGACCACTCTGGTTTTCCCTGTGGCACAGCAGGAGCAGTGGCAGGAACCCCAGGATGCCAGTCCTGGCACAGGCTTGCTCCCTAGGCCTCTTTTCAGCACGCATGCCAAGTGATACAGCAGCCACCAGCCCTCACCTGGAAGATGGCGTGTGAGCGGGAGGAGGTGGCGTTGGCATCGGTGGGATGCTGAGTCCGGTTTTTGTTGCCGTTGGCCAACATCTCCAGGAGCTGCTCTGCGGATGCAGGCTGGGAGAGAACAGGCACAGGGCTGGTGTAAGCATGCCCTGTACGCAGGCACCGAGACAATCCCACACCAAGCAGCCATGGAGACTCGGGTTGAGGCATCCCACAGCTCTGCTGGGCTCATTTCAGCTGGAGGTTGCATTCGCTGCCAGCCAGGAGCCCCGCAGACAGCACCCCCATGTCTCCACCCCACCATATCCCCCAGCATTCCCTTTCAGAACGGGTGTAGGCGCAGCGTTGCCCAGACCTGGTGCCCGTTTTGATACCCACCTTGTGGAAGGAGAGACCCTGAACCACGACGCCTTTCTCGGGATCCTCCCGGATGGCCAGAGGGCCCTTGGGCTCCAGCAGGTCGTGAATCTGCTCATTGTACACCTGGAGCAGGGAACGCATTGTAAAGCTAAGATTTGGTTCCCCAGCACCAAACAGGGAGGGGAGCTTTGTACCCCAGGGTCATGCACAACCTGGTGTCTCCCCAACACCACCTCCAGGGCCTCATTACGCTGAGAGCGCGTGATGGTGCTTGAAATGCAGAGGACAGCTCTGGGCTTTACCAGGAAGTCACCGCTCCTCTAAAACCCTTTCAGCTGAGAAACCCTCACTGCTATGTGGACCACAGCAAGGAAGAGAAACTTCCCAGACTCCAGATGGAAGACAGGCTGGGAGAAACCACTCAACTGGGTGGGTAAGCCTGCTTCCAGTCAGGCTCTGGCTAGTCCAGGGACACCAGGCACAGCTGGCAGCACTGTGGGTACATCAAGTGTGGCACTAAGGGGTCCGGATCAGCCCCAACCCTTAGTTGACCTGGAGGCAGCAGGGGATGTGGCTCGGCTGCAGCGTACCTCCTGGTAGGAGACGAGGACCTCGCAGCTCTTCTCCTCCTTTCTGGCTTCGATCCTCTTGTACAGCTCCACCATGGTGAGGTAGATGATGCCAGGGCTTTCCTCCGAGCCCAGCATGGTGTAGGTTTTTCCTGCTCCCGTTGCGCCGTAGGCAAACACTGGGAGGAGAAAGGGTGGATGGTTGAAACGATCATTAATTAATGGGAGCGGCATAACGTCCGCTTCTTGCTGCAGAGGAGACCTTCCTGCAGCAACCCCTGTGGCAGGGGTCGCTCCCAGGCTTTGCAGAGACGAGGCAAAGCTAATTACCCTCTGCACTGGCTGCACTAACCTTTAGTGCAATTATTTTTCCTCGTTTCAGCCTCTCTAATTTAGCAGACAGAGACAGAACGAGTCCCCAAAGCATCACCCGCCTAGATGCTCAAGTCACCCCTGAACCTTCTCTTTAACGAGCCGAGCAGCCCTGTTCCCAGTCTCTCACCAGAAGGTGTTTCTTCTTCCAGACCTTGTAATTCGCCTCATTTCCCCCCCTCCCATCTTTCACACCCTCTTGGAGGCGTCATCATCAGAGCAGGACACTTCAGCCCTCCTCCCCATTAGCAGCACTCGCTGCTTTGCGACGCTCTCGTTTGAGGATCCTGGAGTTATATTATGCAGATAGAGACATGAGATGTGCCTGCCAGGTGGGCACGGTGACAGAGGCAGCCTTCAGCGGCTCACAGAGCACGCTGGAGAGCCAGGAATAGCATCCCCCGGTGCCAGTGCCCGGCCCGGCACATGATTAGACAGGAGAGCGGGCGTCTCCGCTCGGCGCCTGCCTCGCAGAAGTGATGTGCTCGTTAAGCTGCTGGGCTGCTGACAGCCTGCGAACCCAGCGGCACGAGGCTCTGCGGTGTCAGGCGAGGAGCTTTCAGACCTGGCTTTATGGCGCTGCCAGCCCGGGAGATGCGTCCAACGGGCACAGCGGCCCCCAAAGTACCCCAAGACGCATCTGCTTCACCCCAGATCTCACTCCAAAACTCAGCGTCCTCCCGAAGCTCTGCCCATCTCGGCAGTCTGGACTGGGAAGGGATGGCAAAACCAAGGTGCTCTGCATGCCACAGATCCACCTGATCTCTCCCCATCCTTCCTGCCCCAGGAGAGTGAGGAGCAAGTGATCCTCCTCTTCCAGAGTGCCTGGAAAGTGCCTGCCCAGCCTCATTTTCTATCCCAACACCCAACTCCACACCACATCTCCTAGAGCACCAAGCACCATTGCAGCCCCCGATATTGCAGGACCACAGAACAGCCCAGGCACTGGGTAGATCATCTGGGCCAAGCTTTGGTGGGAAAGGAAGCATGGATCAAGTTGCACCCTGTCCTGCGGGATCTTGAGCACCTCCAGCCGTGGGGACTCCTCTATGTCCCTGGGGAGGTCGCTCCAGCAAATGTTTCTTATATTGAAATGCAGCCTCTCCTGCGGCAACATGTACCCATCACCCCTTGTCACCAGATAGCCTCCATCCTCTCCGTAGTCACCATTTCAGCAGTCAAAAATTGAGGAGATTCCCCCTCCGAGCCTTCTCCAGGGAGAAGAGCTCAACTCCTTCACTCTTTCTTCCTCCAGCAGGTTCTGCAGCCCTTGAATCATCTCTCTGGCCCTGCTTTGGACACTCTCTTACTTGTAAGGGAATTAAAAGTGAGATTTTTTTTTTTTACCAGGCCCTGTAGTGACAGGACAAGGGGCAATGGTTTTAAACTGGCACAGGGCAGGTTTAGATGGGACATCAGGAAGAAATGTTTTACCATGAGGTGGTGAGGCCCTGGCCCAGGGTGCCCAGAGAAGCTGTGGGTGCCCCCTCCCTGGCAGTGCCCCAGGCCAGGTTGGACGGGGCTGTGAGCAGCCTGGGCTGGGGGAGCTGTGACCCCATGGGAGTTGGACTGAGGGGCTGTGAGGTCCCTTCCCACCCAAACCAGGCTGTGAATCTGTAAGAACACTTCGTGTTTTGCTTCCTCTCATTTACCTGCCAAGATCAGACATTTCCATGTCAGGATCATCCCTGTCCTGATCACACTTGCAATCACCACAGCTTGGTGCCACCAACAAGTTTAAGGCTATAGATTTTCATGCTGCTGTTGTGTCACCCACCCCCATCTCACCAACTCCTTGGGGGCTTCCAAAATAAATCCACAGCTCCACTGAGCCCACCCAGCCCGGGAGCAGATGGGGCAGGAGCTTCTGCACAGATCAAAGGCACTTTCTGGGTCTTACCAGAGCAGTTGTATCCATTGAGGACACCATCCAACATGTCACGGGTGGCGTGCTGGAACACCTCCTCCTGCGTGGCCTTCTCCCCAAAAACCCGGTCGAAGATGAACTTCAGGTCCTTGCCCTGGTGCTTGGGCCCGCGGGTGGGCAGCACGCTGCCGAGGGGTCCGCTGGGCTCCTCAGGGTCAAAGATGAGCATGTGCTGGTCCACAACGTGCAGGACGGGCTGCACAGCCCGCTCTTGCTCACAGCGGGGCCGCACACGCACCATGACGGACACAGTGCCCTCCTCGGGCGGGGAGCTCAGCACCATGGCGATGGGGGAACTGGCGCTGGGGCACAGCACCAGCTGGAGGACAGCAGTCTGGGGTCGAGAATACGGTACTGTCTGGGGGACAGCGACCTGGGCTCGAGGACCGATCTGGGCTCAAAGACACAGAACCGTCTGGAGAACACAGATCTGTCTAGAGGACGCCGATCTGGGCTCGAGGACACAGAACCGTCTGGAGAACACCGATCTGGGCTCAAACGTCCCGGGGACCTCACACGCTCTGGTGGGGAGGGAACAGGTCAGCCAGGGGGGTGAAACCGTGGAGGGAGAGCCCAAGGCTGGGCAAGGTCTCCCATCCCCTCCTGTTCTAACCCCTGCCAGCACTCCTGTAGCCACCCTTGTAACTGCTCCATGGCCCTACACCCCCTCCGGGTCACCAGACC